AAAAAAAAAAAAAAAAAAAAAAAGGAAAAAGAAAGAAAAGAAATGGAATATTCAAATTGTTCTTATTTAATTCGAATCTTGATAACTGATAATATTCTACGGAAAAAATGTGTAACTTTCTTACCGTTGCCAATACATCCATAGTTTTGCTTTTTAGCTCGAACGTACCCTGCGTTGGTAGTTCTTTTAATTGCACAAAGTCACCCTGCAATATGATATATAAATGCGATACAACAGAAAGCACATTGCTCGCATCATACACACAGATAATTATAGATAATTGCAGATAATTACAGATAAACACGCCCCCGGTATTTTTATCCATGTGAGTACTTACATATTCATTCGTTAATTTCACATATGTATACTCACATTGTATCTTGCACGTGGGTCTTTAAAGAAATTATGACGCGTCAGATTTCCCGTGCTAGTTCGTAAACATGGTTTCAAAGACGATACGCTCCCTAGTTGAAGCAAGTCTGGCTTTTCTACTTCTGGCCCACCAAATTCTTGCAGTTGTTGCAACCAACAACATAACATTGTCTCGATACCCTCATCCACCTATATATCCATATATATATATATATATATTGGCGTCAACTTTGTTTCTCGTGAAAATTTTCTTTCTAAATTTGACGTTGTACATTTCCAACTTACCCTTCTGGAATCTACTTGAGGCACTTGAGGAAATACAAAGTCTGAGGTGGTTAAAATGATCTTATACGGGCCTTTGGACATTCTCTTCTTAAGTAACTTTTTTCTACGAGACGACAATTGAAAAGAATATTTCGATTAATACCTAGCCGTAGACAGCTATATTTATGATATTTGCTATAACATTGATGACTGGTAATCATCACTCGATTAAAATCCTATCTTTAACACGGAGAAAATACGTTACTCTATAATTCGTTATACTCTATAATTCGTTACCTAATCAAGACTGCGATCGATATCGCGAAAACGGTTAATAAGAGCGACCCCAGGACGATAGTGACAACATGTGCGATACGAAACGTTGATTCGTTGGAAGCAGTCCCTGCAAATAAGAATATCTTTTATGAAATTTATCCAAATCGATTGATCCAATTAGACGGTTTAACATATTTTATTGTATTTTTTGACATCTTTTTTCCAACATCTTTTCTACCAAGGGAAATGGATCTCAGTTTTTTATCAACGTACTTGCGCCGCAAGCATACAATATAACCGTGCACGACTAACTGATTGATTTCTGTTGCAACATTGATTACCCGTGCAAACGATAAAAGGAATCCCGTTGACGTCGATGTTGCACCTTGGAAAATCAGCGTCGTTCGTATTGTGAAACGCTATCGCGTTTGTCGATAACTTTCGAACAAATAATTTTTCACTTCCTTCCACCGTGATCATTATAGGTTTCCAGACGTCAACACGCCAATCAAGCATAACATACGTGTAAATTTTGTTATTGAACGCATTTATACTAGAATTGTCGTTTGTTAAGATGTTAAGGGTTTCGTTCAGACGGTCCATCAACGTTGGCACTATATACCTCTCTACGCCCTCGAATATTTTCTCTACGTCGTATCTGTAGAAGAATATAGCATACGCTTTTGGTTTATCATTTATCTTTTTTTTTTTATTTGGTTGTATACACTATGTATATATATACACGTACATAATGTTACATGCACATGTACGTGTAAGTTTCATAAGTAGCAGAAGGTACGTAGCGGCAATAGAAAGTTAGTATAAAACGTACTAATTGATCGTACCTGTAATCAAGAGGTGTTATCGTCATCAATCTTTCTAGAAAAGTAGAGCTCAAGTTTCTCGGTGGAAGGAACCGATGAGTTATTTTCGATTTATTCCGTAATCGTTGCAATATTTGTTTCTCTTCCGCTTTTTCTATTTCTTCCGCTTCTTCCACATTTTCCACTTCTTCTGCCGAGTCTGTTGCTATTGTGCTGTTATCATCGTCGTGAAAAATCATTTCGTTGGATACGTTTGTAGCAGAGGGATTGGAAGATGATAAAGTTGTAAGCGAAACGTTGGGCTTTGCTGAATCGAAATAAGAGATCGAAGTGTTTCTGGTTGGTAGAAAGAGATCGTCGTCTTTCGTGTGAACAATAACGGTCATAGAGTTCCACATAGAGTTAGAGGATTGCTGTACGATGTCTATCTCGGAGAGGACACGAGTTATTAATCCATCTTCGTCGGATGTTGGTAGACACAACACGGTAACTGCGTGCAATCAAAAATGAAGTTATGAAATTATAAATACTATACGTAAACACATTTTAATCGCATTTTATGCGTTTGCACGCGGTATATATATATATCCAACTACTACGTCTAAAGGTATTTTAAAAGGTATTTTATCGAGGTAAGTCAGAAGAACAAAAGTGGGAAAAGAAACGTTGTTGAACGATTGTAACGAAGAAGTCCAAAAAAACTCACCTCTGCGAGAAACGTTGTAAATAGTGCGAAGAATTTTTCGAATTTGTTGGAAAGAAGCTCGATGTGGTAATAGCACCCGTCGTCGTACCACAATTCCTATACTTTGCAAAGAGTTCAATAATGCTCTTTCAAGACTCATCCATGGTTCGCGATCTGTAACGTCGTGTATATTTACTCGTCCATGGCCATCCATAGCCATCCATAGCCATTAGCCATCCATATTAGTCCTGGTATGATGTATCGTACTTAAGCACTTATACCTGATGTAAGTACATACGTATACGATACTTACGTTCGAACGCTTCTCTCTGCATTTCTGTCCACTGTTCTTTTCCACGCTCTTTCACACGATAATAGGGAACGATAAGAGGGAAAAAGTAAAAAAGAAATATTTACCTGTTCCTATTATCGCTACAGTTTTCCATTGCAAGTGTATCAACATTTCTGCAAGGGCTTTTGCTATCGTAGGTAACGATGGTGACAGCCTAACGATCGATGAAAGTTGCTTTTCCTCCAAGTCTTTCTGAAACGACCGCGATCGCATTCGTTACACGTCGGACAAAACATACAAACAACACACGTTGGAGTACATCAGATATTGCATGTACATATGTACATAGTACATGGAAAGTTGTGAATGAAAAATTCATAGTACGTGGTTACACATAGACGAGTGTTTGCATAGACGAGTATGTGCGTACGTACACACGCACGTATGTGTATGGATACATATGGATCTGTGTGTGCGTGCGTGCGCACGCGCGCGCGTGTGTTTAATTTGCTTACCAAAGGACAAGTCCATGTGAACAACGGCATGTTCCAAAGATGTGCAAGCTTAACTGTAATTTCGCACATCGGTGAGTCAAGAACAGCTACAAGAGCTTTTGCCCTTCTTTCACCAAGTACACGTAACAGAGCATCAAGGCCTCGAGTTTTCGTTTCGCACGACACTGAAGAAAGAATATTCATTCATGGTCATGCATACATACATACACATAGTAGCAATAGCAGTAGCAATATCAAGATTGGGAGTACATAATAGATGATAGTGAATACAGTAGGAATAAGTAGTAGTAGTAGTAGTAGCAGTAGTAGCAGTAGTAGCAATAGTAGCAATAGTAGCAATAGTAGCAGCAGCCGGTTTGCGAATAAAAAATTTCCGAATGGAACAACGCAACGATGAGTACTTACGTGATAAAGGTATAACGGTGATTTGTACGTCAAAGTTAAATCGATCAAAATAGTCTTGAATATCCGTACCCATGCTAGTGGTATTCGTCTGATGGTTGCAATGTTCTCTTAAGAAGAGCATTACTTCCGACTTGCCTCCATGTACATTTTGCTCGATCGCATCCGAAAAATAAGAAACACATGGAACTTGTTCGCCATTCGAAGAAAGCAAACATCCAGGCAGGATCATGATCGAGATCCACGACCAAAGCCGGCGAGAAGAATTCCCGGCCATGGGCCTGTAACTACTCTGTTTATCGTTTTCGCTCCGTAGCTTATTTGCTGTTCACCTTTCCCCTCAGCTGCTGGTCTATTGACCCGTATCTATTTGTCTCTGTATTCGTCTTCTTTTAGTATCTTCACTGTATGCAGAATAAAATGATCATTTAGATTAGAAAATCGAGATTCGAAGCCGCGACCAAGTCATAGGTATCTACCGTTATGCTATCGTATCTCTTACTCTCTCACTTAACAAAAGATCAAAACCAATAGAGAAATCTTTTTTTTTTTTATTAATTATTATCTTCTTCCTTTTCTTCATAGCGATGTGTTTTTGCTTACGATGAAAACACATTTCATTCTTATAGGTACAGATTTTAACCGTTGAGGAAAAAAAACCGTTAATACGTGCGATAAAATACATTGATCATTGGTACGAAATTCTCTTAATTTTCTTCAGATTACAAAAAGAATAAGAGAGAGAGAGAGAGAGAGAGAGAGAGAGAGAGAGGGAGAGAGGGAAAGAGAGAGGGAGAGAGAGAGAGAGAGAGAGAGAGAATTTTATCTATTTATGGTAAATTATCGCGGAACAGGACAGGATGTGGTAAGCTACAACAATTAGAGCGTGCACAATCTTTTCGTACAAAAAGGCGTACAATTTAATTACGGTAGATTAATTTGCTGTAAACATTTTCCACTACATTTAATACTTACTGATGCTAAAAATATTTACAAACGATCTTGTATGGTTGCTGTTACGCATTTCCTATAATTATTACTGTACTCGTGTAATAATCGCAAGTGGGACTAGCATCGATAAAGCAATTACGTTTCCATCCGTACTAACGATTTGGAACCAAGGATTCCAAAATCTAATTCTACGTGATAACATTATAGAGTGTATCGTATAATTTGTTCTGCGGCGAATAACAATTGCGTTACAATCGAACATTCACAAGTGTATTAGTGTCAGTTTTGGAGTAATTAGTAATGGAATAGTTAATAATTGTAGAATGATTGTAGATACTTTTTAACGTAAAAGCGTTTTACACGTTTTCGATTAAGAAGAGTAACTTCCGTATATAGAGTAAAATTTATCGAAGAACGAAAACCAGTTTGTCATAAAATTCGGTAGTTCAAAGCAAAATTGCAGAAGCTAATAAACTCATATTTGAACAAGAAGTACAAATCGATATGTCGATAGGTACGGTCACGTATTTACTTACAACCACATACATTTTACATCCGAAATTTTATCTTACCGTTTTTCTTTCCGTGATGAGGATCTCTTTTTCTGTTTGCGTATATACCAAAAGGGGATGCGCGAGTCTAAAAATATTTTAAAAATACGCATATCGCGAACCAAGAACCAAGAACAAAGTTAATTAATTATATTTGAAAATTTGGTTTTATTCTCAGCGGCACAGAGACCAAATAGAGTACGTGTTTGAAACGACAATTCGTTCTGTCCGAGCAAGAACCGCAAACGTTTCAGTCGGCCCGAACGCCTCAGCGTCCGGTATCGAACTAAGTTGAGTTCCACCCTTCTACACATGCCCGAAGTGACGTTATCACGAGGTCGCGAGAACGTTCGTCCCGAGTCCCGAGTCCGGAGTCCCGGGATACGAATTCAGCTAGCGAAGCTGCCTGCACCATTTCCTGCATCAGTCTTGCGTCTCTCGGCCCTCGTCAACGTTTCTATCAACCGAGTCGTCTCATCTTTACGAAACATTATCATCTTTTCGACTCGTCACAATGATCAATGAAATTTGTCTCTATAATTATTTCATTCGTACTCGCAACTAAGAATTTCCACATGTCAGTCGTAACGCCAAATTTACTGAAACTGTTTTATCGCAAAAAATGCCAATTGCAAATTTTCTTTCAATTATCCTCTCTCAATAGTCAATAATCATGTCTATCTCGGTCTCGATTAACTACATACCTATCTCGTACTTGCTTTTCGTACATCCTCCGTCCAAAACAGCATGTCAAAAATTGCTTAGCGATCTTCTTGCGACAGCAGTTTTAATCTTTCGGCTACTCCTGTTTAGTACACCAATATTATTCTGTTCAAGCACAACGCTTTTGATATTTAAGGAATGTTTTCGCCAATCTACTGTAAGAGTGATTAAAATTCTAATTCAAGTTCTTGTATTTGATATTTGTCTTTTCATCGGAACAGTCGTTTCTAGGCTTATACGGTCTCGGTTTACATCTCCGTCTCTATCTTGAAATTCATCTTTTTAATTCTATTTTCTGCATAATATTTCCTAGATTTCAAAGATTTGTTTTGATAAGCTTCGTGATTCGGAGGCATTTTATCTCTTAGGATTACGTCACCAGTGTAGCCGTCTATCAATTTACAAGAAAATTTAAACATTAATATACAATATTCACTGTAATTTACATATCTACGCCACTTTCACGATTGTTATTGTACAATTTATTTTAGAATGCTCGGCTGAAGGTAAAAGGCAGCTTTACTTTGCTACTGTTAGAAAATTTTCTTAGTCCCATAATGAGAATTTAGTGGCTGTCAACTGAATGTTTTTCAGTTTTTGACGCAGTTGGCTTTAACCAAGAAGAGGCAGTAGTCCAGTCTGGATCTTATTGTAAAATGAACTTTACTCTTGTAAATTGTAAGTAGTCTAGATGGATCCGCTTCTCATCATGTAGATACATTATGACATTGATTTAATACATTGAAGTCAGTCATACAATCTGCGGTCAGTCATACATGTCACGTTAGTGTTATTCGAATTTTTGATTCTGGTCCACACGGATGCTTAGGATATCTCATAAACTCCGAGTTACCTAATCTTGTTTCGCCCAATTTAATTGACATTATAGCTGGGGATTTGTTTTTGCTGTTGAAAATCATAAATTTCGTTTTATTTATATGAGATGTCAAGTCCGATTCGCATTAGGTCAGAGATGATAATATTCGATTGTCTGCGTGGCATCTTGGGCGTCGTTTCTAGTAGCGCATATAGCGAAGTTATTGCCATATTGTAAATGTTAATGTTAACATATGATTAAATATGCCGATTATGAATAATAGATGAATACATTGTCCCGTGCAATTCTGACGTTATCGGTGCATATTTATTATTATTACTTTCGATGCTCTCTCTTCAGTCAACCGGATGCTCGAGTCAATGCTGAAATAAACTTTTCAGTGGTTAATTCGGCAATAAATAAATTTTTCGAGAAAATCCCGAATGGTTTAATTTGTTAATGAGTACGTCAATTTGATATTTAACAATTTTGTTGACGTGGAGTGTTTCTCGTGGTTATTTGTTTGTGCGAAGCATGCTATCTATCGTACATCTGTTTCTCCTAAAATCAGACTAATACGTAAATCCTTTGGAAATTCAGTCTTTTTAGTAACTCGTACATGCATGAAGCTATTGCAACGTAAAGGTTTAAGTATTACCTTGCTTTTGTGTCATTCTTCTGAGAACAGATTGTCCTCACAGATGCTAATTAAAATATATAGAAGGATTAGTTTCCAAATGATTCCAGGGACTTTGATCATTCGAATTCATGTTTGAAAAGATCTCCTTGAGTGCAGCGTTCAACTTTTGTAGAAAGTCTGCTCTGTCCAGAAATGAGCCTGCTCGGCTTGAATCTAGCTGCGTATTTGTTAAATAGACAGATGGAACGTACATATCTTGTTAATGTAGTCATCATAATCTTCTGGACTTTGTTCGTTGATGGATATGTTTGTAATTTACTTGCTTTTCACGCTAATAATATTTGTGTGCTATATATATATATATATATACATTTCAAAGATGCTATCGACTACATTCACAAATAAATTCTCAAATTCCAATGTAGTTTGCACAAAATTAAACACAATTTAAAAGAATGTTTCGATCAAATTTCAAATTACAAAATTAATATATTTTTTAAAAGTATCAGTACATTTTAGATGGAAAATACAATGAAATCTTACAATCTCAAATGGACGACGTAATTTCAAGCGTCTCGATTAGTTTTTTCTGCAAATTAGTGCAGTGCTTTGATTTGTAACGACCGTTACCTCTGCAGATCTTCAAATTAGCGCCATCTACGTTTGATCAATGGTTCCGCCGAAAGGTGCGTTTCCGAAAAATCGACGGAGCCAACTTTGTGAAACTCTTAGACATAAGAAAATTTATAAATTGTTATTACATTTTATTGTTACTATGGAGATGTTTGGTAAATGTTAGAGATGTATATATAATTACCATCATAGAAATTGTTATTCATTCGTCAGCCAGCATTTACAGAAAACAGTTCAGTTAATTTACTTTATACTTTTGTCATTTTAATAATATTTAATATAGTTTATAAAATGTTAATACGGAGTTATTATTTAAATTTGTGATTGAGATTAATTATCTTTATCGTACCTACAGATTTACAGCGACTGCTACCTCCGCAGAATTGATATCAGCGTCATCTATGTTCACTAAATCGTTCCGCCGAAAAGTATGTTCCCGATAAACCGACATCGCTAACTTAAGAATGGAAAATAATCATGAACAAACAATAACTGGAAACTTACTAGGTAAAAATGTGCCTATGAACAGTGTCTCTCTCTTAAGGCAATTATCTCGTCACATCAAATTATTTTCCAGTGGTATATTTGAAACGACAGTCAACTATCATTATAAAAGTTTTATAAACAATTGTATAATTCTATTATTATTGCATAATTTTATAATATAACAGTTGTATAATTTTACCATTATAGAAGTTTTATAAATAGTTGTATAATTTTATTATTTTATAACACTCGATTCTTCAGAAATAAAATTCAAATTTCAAATTTTTGTTCTTAGTAATTAAAGGAAGTGCTTAAAAGATATAGATATTCATGTCAGAATTAGTACTAATCTCTGTTCGGAGAGAAACATCATAATTGTCTATATCTAACATAATTATCTACTTATTTTAATTATCATTTAAACTATAGTGACTTATATGTAGAATATATTTTGATATTTCAATTTATTTTTTTTTTTATCTTCTGATCTTGTTTTTTGCGAGATATGACATTAATATGTGACGTTTAATTGCAATATTTTCTTCAAGCACAAGTTTTTGCTGCTTCGTCAAAGACATCTTGAGAAGAATTGTTCGCTATATATAATTTCGCTCAGAATTGGGTATTATTCTTCGAACAAAATTTTATACGAAATATTTACTGAAATAACATAAAGAAAAACAGTCAGAAGTCCTTTTTTCACAATTTTGGTTTATTTAATAAATTTGCTTTTAGTAGAATTTTTTGTTCAAATATTTTGTCGATTAATCTGTTTTACTTTAGGCAAGTTTGTTATCGTTGCAAATAAAAACAAACATATTGAGAAGAATGGCTCCCTGTAGCATTTCGCTGCACGCTTATCTCGGCGTCAGTATAAACACATCGCACCACTCTGCTATCCTTGCAGCTCTTCTCTCAATAGCTGACAATCCTTTGCCATTCACGCGGGCATTCTCGCCGGCATCTTCTTGCTACTGTTAGTGGTTCCTGTCCTGTTGACGCTTGACCTGTTATTTTTATCGAGGAAAAAGAGAAAAAGTTAATTATTCAAAGTTTTAAATACACAGTTGACATAACTAACAGTA